TTTATCAGTTCCTGAATACACTTCATTGTGCTCATCCCCAGCAGTCTAATTTTTATCCATCACCATACATATGTGCCCCTTTATCCCTTTCACCTACCCCATAACCCCCTTCCCCTCTGGTAGCCACTAATCTGTTGTCTTTATCCATGTATTTGTTATCTTCCACATATGAGTGAAATCATGCATTATTTGTCTCTTTCTGTCTGACTTATTTCAGTCAACATCATACCTTCAAGGTCCATCCATGTTGTTGCAAATGGGACAATTTTGTCTTTCTTTATGGCTGAGTAGTATTCCATTGTATGTATGTATATATATATATATATATATATATATATATACACCCCATCTTCTTTATCCATTCACCTGTAGAATGGCACTTGGGTTGCTTCCACATCTTGGCTATTGTGAATTATGCTGCAGTGAACATAGGAGTGCATAAATCTCTTTGGATTATTGATTTCAAGTTCTTTGGATAAATACCCAGTAGTGGGATTGCTGGATTGTATGGTTTAATTTTTTTAAAACTACCTTCTCTTAAAGTTTATAGTTTGTCAATCAACAAGTCTTTATAAACATTATCATTTAATGAAGAAAAAGCAGTATCAATATGATCCATATCTTTTTATTTTCCTTCCACTTAATTATGGGCATTTCTTAATCTGTATCTACATTTCTAAACCAATTTGACTGATCAAGTCTGAGATAATAAAAATTTAAAAGCCAAGCCAATTGTTTGTCTATCCCAGCTGATTTTATTTTGGCTATCTGGTCAAACTTGCAATGTGACCATGAGCAAGTCCCTTGGCCTTTCTGAACTTGAGTTACATCATCTGACAAACAACAGGATTGAACTAAATCGTCTCTAAATTGCCTTTTAGCTGTAAGAGTTTGTGGCACTTATATTGCATTTAATAAGCAGCTTCACAATTTTCTCTTATGAAATAGACTAGGATATCTACTTTTAAAATGTCATAAATCTGTTAGTCTGAATAAGTGGATGTATTTTTATCTGACTTGAACAGTTAACCAGCACTCTTCTGCTAATAGGAAGAAGAACTTATTCTTTAGACTCCAGTTTTCTCTGCTGTCCTCTCCAGACTTTGAGATTCATCAAACGCATCTGGAGGAAGAACCCCTCTGGAGTTGGAGGAAGGGGCTCAGTGTAGATTAAGGATGCTCTTTTAATGGTCATCAGCAATTCAAGCTCTATCCCTAGACCCTTCTGGCTCTTGAGGATTCATATTCTTTCAACCCACTTGCTCTTCTATGTGTTTCCTTCTATTTCTGTCTGTTTCTGGCCCCCATCCCCCATCCTTGTCTCATGCCTCCTCGTGGTCTAGGAAAAGGATAAGGCAAATGGGCAATAGGCCTGTCTTTCCATCCACTTTGGTATCACGTCACTTGGCTCTCACCTATCAAATACCTAATGATTCACTTTATTTAGGAGACTCCTGAAAAATAATCATAGCAACAACAGCTAATATTTATTGAATGCTTATTATTTGATGAGGACTTTGCAGACATCTCACATAGTTTCTAACAATCGCATTAACTCTAACTTCATTCTATCCTTTGAGAAACTCAAGCTTAATGAGATTAACCCAAGGCCAGAATGAGTGACAGAAACCTGATATGGTATACAATCCCAGGACTGCTTGACTTGTGCTTCTGACTCTCATTCTTGTGTGGTTGTACCTGAAGTTCCTAAAACAAAACTGGGAGTAGAAAGCAGAAGGCCAAATCAAAGCTCTAAGATGGGAAGGATTAGATGGGAATGACATTTCACAAGCTTTTCTAGTGGAAGAGAGGATGCTGCTCAGACGAAGGGGGCCACACTCAGCTCTGAGGATCTGCTCCTTTCCCTTGTCTCCCTACCTCATCCCCAGAGCACCTTACTCAGGCGGCATCAGGCTCAACCATGGGCTTAGGACCCGCTTATTATCAAACTCAGTATAGGCAGTTAGTAGTGGAGGGTCAAGACTCCCTGCCCCATTATTCTAGTTTCCTGCCCTGGTATCATTCATTCAGATGTGTACAGACTCACCTTGTGAATAAATATTGGCAAACGTCATCATAAAACTATACATGCAGGACCTTCTCTACTGGGCAGAAAGACTGACTCTAGGATCATGACCTCATTTTCATTCTCCAAGACTTTGAAACCCTAGTCCTAAGGAAAGGAAAAGAGAGGATACATTGCCCTAAGTGTCCAGCTGTTTAGGGGCTACAAAGGCACGCATCTTAAGTAGCCTTTGGCTTCATTTTTCATTCAGAGACTGGAGGTCTCCTGAGTCATGGTGGAAGGCTAAGAGCTGTCCCCCAGTTTGACTTAACCCTCCACCTTGAAGACAGTGAAATGGCAGGGAGAAGCCAAAAGTTTTTAGTTTGGAGCTAGAATTTTTTCAGTTGATAAGAAAATATGATGGCATGTATAAGTGTGGGAAGAACTCAGAAAGAAAGAAAGAAAAGATGCTTTTTAAAAAAAAAGTTTTGATGAACTGTCTATTTGATGGAAAGACTCAAAGAGAATGTAAGTTTGGTGTTTCTTTGATTGTATTTTGATTTTAAGTGGATTAATGGGTAAGAGAGGGTCCAAGAGTAAATAGAGACCAGAGGTATATCTGGAGGTTTTGTGGGACCTGAATCTTATATGATTTAGGGGAGTACTCTTAAGAAAAATAATATGAATATAAAAGTAGGTATAGAGCCTTGGAGAAAGCTCATGCAAGTGAGGAATCTTGAGATGAAGTTTCATTAGCTTCCTAGAAAATTCTTTTATGGTTCAGACAGTTTAAAAATTTTTCTCCATCTAGCTGGGAACATGGATATACCACTCTGAGAGATTCTATACTGAGAGACTGAAGGGTTAGTGAGAAAGATGCAATGGCGAGGGTATGAAGAGGATAATAAAATGCAGAGGAATTACAAGGAGCTTACTAGGTGGTGGTGTGCAATATTCAGAGAGAAGGTCCTATGTGTACATGATTTTACACACCGGGATCTTCGTTAAAAGGAGAATGCCCTGAGGTGCCCAGGGCCACAGGGACCACCTATGTGGTTTTCCTACCAAGAATCTGAAAGAGGAGATAAGGATCAATAGCTCAAGTTACTTTTTACTCTGTCTTCTGGTTTCCACTAATTATGTTAGGATTTATCTGCATCTTCAGCTTGGGCAGTACAAACAGCCAGCACAATTCATCCACTACCCACATCCTCTCTTCTCTTATTTTTCTAATTATATCCATTGATTCTTAACTGTCAAAATAACGATATGTCTCAACTCGGGAATTAAGAGACATTTATGAGACATGTAAAACATTTTAAACCTGGAAACACTTTAATCTTCATCAGATTTTTTACAACTGTTTTTAGATACCTCAAAATGTAGGGTTAAACTACACTGACAACATCCCTTTTATACTCTGGGGCGATAGAAAAAGAAAATGGCCTGAGATGGTGCCAACTCTCCAGACTGACCAGGGCTGTGGAGAATCCGAATTTTATGGAGTGGGGTTGATTGGATGGTCTTGTTACTAGTTATAAGAATCTCTTAAACCCACTCAGCAGCTGACAGCCTGCATTTAAACTGAAGATTGTCAGAACCTTTAGTGGTGACAGCACAATCCAGCAACAAATTCTGTATGAGTTAAAGTAATAGAAAAGATGGTACCTTTAGAGGGAGAATTAATGGAACTCACAGAAGAGCCACTAAAAAAACAAATATCTAAGCTTTAAAATATTTTACCAGAAAATGAGCAACAAAATACATTGCAGATCAAATACAGATGGGCTAGAGGGGAGGTTACAACAACAGCAGATGGGCAGGCAAGCCTGGGAGACACGGTAATAGGTTCTCTCTGTCCTGAAGGGAAGCCAGAGGAGGGTAGGAGGGCCAATTTCTCTGAAGATTGGCACTCAATTCTTCATAATAATCAATAAAAGGAGTGTTGGATGCCTAGTCTCTGGTTCTTGTGAGCTTGTCCAAAGTGCCTTAGGCAAGATACTCATGGAGCAGGAAGGGAGCATGAAGGGCAGGAAAGGCTCTCATCATGCCTCCACTCAGCCCCCTTTCCACAGGGCCCAAATAGAGGAGAGCCCAGGCAGAGGAAGGCATTTTCCAACATGATAGACACAGGTAGGACACTCTCGGCAGGAGAGGCTGGAGCAGCATTTGTAATTTTAGTCCAGAAGGAGATTCAGCGACCCTATATGTAGTGGTTTGTACTTTTGTGAGGGTGAAAGAGGGAGTGGCTTGCTTACCCCCTTCTTTCTTTCTTTCCTTTTTTTAATTGTATTCCAGGAAACTGCTCAACTCATATACCCTGGAATCATGGTTTTACAGAGTCAGGCTTATCTAGTTCTCTTCCCATCCAATATTATGAAGGCAGTAGTCTGTTACAAGTGAAAGGAGGCAGCCTGTTTGTCCATTCATCCATCCATTCATTCATTCACTCATTGAGTAAATCTTTATGGTACAAAGCAGTATTTTTAAAACATTACAAGATACAATTCCTGTCATCAAGTAGGGTCCAGTTGAGAGCTGAGATATTTCCACAGTAAACTTAAATTATTAAGTGACAGTTGAGTGATACTCACAACATAGGAGATCACAAAAGGCTTAGAAAGGCCAAGGAAGGCTTAAAAGGGGAAAAGGGACTTGATCTACAATCTGAATGGATGGAAAGATTTTGACTATCTTGCAGGAGGTATGGAAAAGCCTTTAGGGTGAGGCAACAACATGGAGGCATAAATGTACGCTACGGACTGAATATTTGTGTTCCTCCAAAATTCATATGCTGATGCCCTAATTCCCAATATGATGGTATTTAGAGGTGGGACCTTTGGAAGGTAATTAGTTCATGAGGGTAGAGGCCTCTTGAGTGGGATTAGTGCCCTTGTAAGAAGAGACATGAGAGAGATGATCTCTCTTTTGGCCATGTGAGGATACAATGAGAAGGTGGCTGTCTACAAGCCAGGAAGCAGGTCCTCACCACACAGTGGGCCTGCTGGAACCTTGATCTTGGAATTCCCAGCCTCCAGAACTGTGAGAAATAAATCTTTGCTGTTTAAACCACCCGATCTATGGTAGTTTTGTTATAGCAGACTGAACTGACTAAGACAATGTATATGGACTTGGGAAAACTCATGTAGGAAGGAAAAGTGGGAACTTGAGTGTTGAGGGAGACCGATTGAGAAAATGGTCACAGTTCTCTGCTCCTCCCCATGTCCACATCCTTTGCAATGTGACTTCGTAGCTCTTCTCATAAGGTGATGAAATCTATTTCCTTACTCCTTGATTCGAGGCTGGCCTTATAATTGCACTGACCAAGGGAATGAGGCAGAAGTAATTGTGTGCCAATCTTGAGTCTAGGACTCAAGAGATCTTACACCCATTTTCACCCCTGGGAACCCTGACTAGTTATCAAGTGAACAAGCCCAGCTAATAGGCTGAAGGATAAGAGACAATGTGGAAGAGAGCCCAGTTGTCCCAATCAAAGACATCTTAGACTAGCCAAGAACCAGCAATCCCCAAACATGTAAGAGAATGCTGTCTATATCGGGAGAGCTGCCTACTTGATCCTCAACTAATCTCAGACACCTGAGTGGACCCTAATGAGATAAGAAGCACCCAGCTGACCTGTAGACTTGTGAGAAATGCTTACTGTTCTAAGCCACTAAGTTTGGGGGTAGTTTGTTACCCAGCAAGAGCTAAATGATATAGGTTTCAAGCTAAGAAGCTTGAGATCTTTGTCCTATAAGTAATGTAAAGATTATTAGTAAGTATTGTGATACACTATAGAAGTTCATTAGAAGTTTCCTGTCACCATTGTAGTAGTGGAATTTAGTGATAATTTTAGTCTATTGAAAACTAATTTTTATTAAAATAATAAATGCACAAAGTTTAAAGAGTTAAATAGTACTACAAGGCTTATAAAGGAAAAATGTGGTCCCAGGCTATACATCTACTTATGCCCCAGTACTCTTTCTTAGCTTTCTCTTCTGGAATTTATCTTCATGAATGTTAATACTCTTTATATTTACCTGTTTTAGAAATTATCTGTTGATTTCCTGTTATGGCAGATGAGAATTTTTCTATGTCCCGACTTCTCTCCCCTATCCCATATCCCCTTATCCCAAAATATCAATTTAATAATTGACATTATCAATTTAATATCATTATTTTTGTTAAATGAATATTTAATGTTTATATTGTTAGATCTATGTAAATATTCTTCACAGTTAGGCAGACAGAGTAGTATGATAGTTTCTTTTTATACAAATTTTGGTTTTCTTCGTGATGCCTCATTCTTTTATTTGCTTAGTTTTCTATGTACCTATTATAATTTTCTCCAGATATAATAACAGATGCCAAAAAACTGTTTCAATTCTATTTTCCACATAGTCAAAAGCATCAGTTTATTTTATTTTATTACTTCATGTTTATTTTTTGGAGGTCTCCATCCTGGAGTCCTTTTGCTCTAATTTGGACTGGTTTTCTATAGGTAAATCCATCACTCTAGCATTTTCTGTGCTAGACACTCTTTTTCCTGATTGTCACGTCTTCCTCTCTCTTGATTTAACCTCGTACTGTGGTGGAGCATATCCTTCAGCAGCTTCTGGAGAACAGGAGTTTGCATGATTGAAATGTCTTTATTCTACCTCAAACTTAATTGACCAAGGATAGAAAATAGCTTTCTCTCAGATTTTCTAATGCATTGCTTCACTGTCTTCTGACTTTCAAAGTTACTGTTGACAAATTCCTGGAAAGACACAAACTATCAAAGTTTACTCAAGAAGAAATAAATAACTTGAATGGTTTTATATTTATTAAATAAATTTAATTTGTAGTTAAAAAACCTCCAACGGCTGGCCCCATGGACGAGTGGTTAAGTTCGGTGCTCTGCTTCAGCGGCCTGGCGTTTTGCTGGTTCAGATCCTAGGTGCGGACATGGCACTGCTCATCAAACCATGCTGAGGTGGCATCCCATATAGCACAACCAGAAGGACCTACAACTAGAATATACAACTATGTACTGTGGGGCTTTGGGGAGATGAAGAAAAAAAAAGAAGATTGACAACAGATGTTAGCTCAGGTGCCAATCTTTATAAAAAACCTACTGATAAAGAAAATACCATACCCAGATGACTTCACTGATGAAGCTCCTAAACATTTAAAGAAGAAATAATGCCAAATCTATACAAACAAGTATGGGAAATTGAATTAAATAAGAGAAAATATTTTCCAATACATCCTATGAGGCCAGCACTATCCTGACGCAAAAATCAGACAGACACAAGAAAAGAAAACTATATACGAATATCCCCCCTGAACATAAATGCAATAATCCTAAGCAAAATTTTAGCAAATGAAATCCAGAAATCTATAAAAATGATAATGCATTATGACCAAGTGTTATTTGGCTCGTGGAGAAACTGGAACTCTCATACCTCGCTGGCAGCAATGTAAAATGGTATACCACTTTGGAACAATTTGACAGTTTCTTAAAAAGTAATTCATATACAATATTATATAATCCAGCTATTCTAGTCTTAGGTATTTACCCTAGAAAAATTAAAGCATACGTCCATGTAAAGATCTATCATGAATGTGTATAGCAGCTTTATTTATTATAGCCCAAACCTGGAAATAATCCAAATGTTCATTTTGTTACCTAGTGAATAAACTGATACGTCCATACAATGGAATAGTACTTAGTAAACAAAAGGAATAAACTATTGATACAATAAGAATATAGATGAATCTAAAATTAATTATGCTTTGTGAAAGATGTCAGACAAAAGAGAGAACACTCGATGATTCCAATTACACACAATTCTAGAAAATGCAAACTAAACTGACAGAAAACAGATTAGCTGTTGCCTGGAGACAAGAAAGGGGAACAGGGAAAGATGGAAGGGATGAATTTCAAAGGGACCCAAGGAAGATTTGCAGGGTAATAGATATGTTCATTGTCTGGATAGCAGTGATGGTTTTACAGGTATATACATATGTCAAACTCAACAAAGTGCATACTTTACTTATATATACTTGTTTGTATGTCAATTATATCTCAATGAAACTGTTAATGTGGGTCAGTTTCATTTACTTTGGCTTGCAACCATCTCTATTCTCTTTATCATGTCTTTGAAACACCTGTGTGGCATCTCCATTCTGACTCCAGCCTCTTCCTCCTTTCCACCACATAAGGGAGACAGGAATGCAACATTGCGAGGTCAAGTCTCTGAAAGACATCTTAAAGGAGTGAAAGCAGTACACACAAGGGTATTCTTACTGGTTTCTGCTGGACAAATAGAAGAGCATATTGCCTGTATCTATACTGGCAGTGGCATTTCCTGACACTAATTTCCTGGTAACTGGAGACCTGGAAATTGAGCCAGCCAGCCAGAATTGACTGAGCATGCGAATCTCTTGTTGATCTTAAAAAAAAAAAAAAAAGTTCCCAGCCCTCATTCCTAGAGATTCTGATTTAGTAAGTCTGAGGTGGAGCTCAGAGAACTTGTACATAAACCAAGATTAGAAACAACAGCATTAGGCAAAATTAGCATTTTCACCCTTGCCTCCACTAAAACCCTTCACCGTCATCAGGCTGCTGTCCTCTCTCCCTCTCATACCATGTTAAATCCTCTCCCACTTGCCTAATTTCCACTTACGCAAATCATGGTGATCCACCCATTGCAAACTGTGCCTCTTCTTTTATGACTAACCATCTCTCTCCACTTCCTTTCTTCTCACCTGTCTCCAACCACTGCAGCCCTTCTAATCCTTGAGTCAAAACAACTCAAGGATCCCAAGCTAATCATAGAGGTATTCCTTTCTCTGGGCTCTAAGTCACTACACAGAATGAAGGCCTCAGGGTTTCAAAACAATGACTTAGTGTCCTGCCCGGTGGCATAGCAGTTAAGTTCTCATGTTCTGTTTCAGTGGCCTGGGGTTTGTCGGTTGAGATCCGGGTGCAGACCTACGCCCCGATAGTCAAGCCATGCTGTGGTAGGCGTCCCACATATAAAAAGTAGAGGAAGACGGGCACGGATGTTAGCTCAGGGCCAGTCTTCCTCAGCAGAAAAAGAGGAGGCTTGGTGGCAGATGTTAGCTAAGGGCTAATCTTCCTAAAAAAAAAACAAAAAGCCCAAGGATTTATTTGCAGAAAATCAGCTCTTGTGTGTATACAAGTCACTGTAGCAAGTTCTCTTTGGCGTCACCAGTGTTTCTTCACTTGCTCACTATATTGGACTCTGTCTATGGACAACTAGTACTATCTTGTTTTGGTTTTAGAGAAAATTATTAAAGCTTAGAGCAAAGCTGTTTATTTTTGCCATCCCAATTTCTGAGAAGAAGATATTTTAGATAAGCAACTCACCACTGTCTTTGATCTCAAACTATCAGCTTCAAAGTATAACATTTAAAAATAATTTTATGTGGTTTCTATTATTTTGCCTGCCTTGCATGCATTGAGGCTTATTTTAAGACGCCTCTTCTGTTTTTGAGAATTTTTGTAAGATGGTCAAGTTAGATGTTTGTCTTTTGTGATGAAACTCAGCAACTTCTTTATAGAAATATCCCAGATTTTATTATCACATCAGATAGTGGTAACATGAATACATTTCTCTTCTTTACAGACATTTACTGAGAGTACAGAGTTGACGTCCACTCAATTTTTCTGGAAGAGCATTGGCTTCTGTTTTTTCTCTTCCCTTTGTAACCACTCTTGAAGAAAAAAAGATTCCACTTTGTACATCTAAAATATTTGTCAGGAGGGTGGGTGGTTACCACTCTTTCTTCTGCATGGTGGTGGTAAGCTTTTCTGTTCCTTTTGTCAGGTTCAAGAAAAAAGTTGTGTTAAAAGTAGAATATTTGGACAATATGTTGCAGAAGGGACATAAATATGCCTTTGAGGTCCAATCAAGGGCACGTAATTAATTTTATTCTTCCTGGTTTACTGTCTGAGAGATAGCATAATGCAGTGGGCGTAGTAAAAAAGCAGTAGTAGTACTAGATTTTTAAAATTGGAGAAGCTGTTTTCTAAAGTTTGCTCTTCCACCTATGCAATCTGGGGCAAGGTTCTTCATTCTTTTGTTTATTCATTCTTTCATCCCACAACTATGTCTTGAGCATCTTCTCTGTGTTAGATAGTGGAAAGCTCTGAGAACAGAGGAGGAGGACATGGTCCTTGCTCTTACAGAGTGTGGCAGGCATGAGAATGTGCCTCATAGATCTCCAACTACAGTAGCATAGTTGACCAAGGGCCTCAGATTCTGTGCTCTGAAATCCACTGTATTGTTGGCACCAGGCCACACTTCCCATGGGCTGTTCCTCACCAGTAACTGACTGTGACAGAGATACAAAGGCAAGTCCATTCCTGGGAGACATGGTATTTATAAGATGGTCAACTACAGCTGGAGAACTCAGTGATGGTCTTGCTGAACAGTCTTTAGTCTGCACAGCAGTCTAACTCACTTCAATCCAACCTTCCTGTCCCCTCTCCTTCGCTCAGGGTCACACTTGCATCACGTTCTGAGGGCTCTCTGAAACTTGTGTTCTCTCCTCATTTTCTCTCTCAGGCATTTCCACTACTAAAAATCCTTACACATTAAATCCCATCTTGGCGTTTGCTTCTTAGAGAACCTAGACTAACATACAGAGTTATATATTCTGGTGGAAGAGACAAAAAACAAACAAGTAAAGAATAAGACAATTTCAGATAGTGATAATTGTTTAAGGCAAAAAAATAGCATAGTGAGATAGACTGATTGACTGGAGCAGGGGCTGGGGAGGTGCTTTGTTCTTTAGCTTAGACGGGTAGGGAAGACTTCCCTGAGGTTATATTCCAGCTGAAAGCTGAATGATGAGATGTGAAGACGCTGGAGAGGAGCAGGCTGAGCAGTGTGAAGGGCTGGAGCCCAGCAGGAGCAGCATGTTTGGGGAATGTGAAGAAAGGGATTTTCCTAGCAGTCCTCCAGGACAGCGTGGCGGGAAGTGAGATCAGAAAGACAGATGAAAGCCTGGTTCCACAGGTCCTCAAAGGCCATGGCAAGGAGTCTACACTGTACTCTAAGTGCAATGAAAGACTTTTGGGAAGTTGAAGCAGAAGGGTGACATAATTTGATTTGCATTTTTGAAAGATCCTTTGGCTACTGAGAAAGGATGGAGTGGGAGTGGGCAAGCATAGAAACAAATAGAGTAGTTAGATTACAGGAATCTAAGTGAGAGCTGCCATAGGCTTGGACTTCTGATAGTGACAATGCTGGTGAGAAAAATAAAAGGATTCAAGACAGGCTTTGGAGGCACATCTGATAAACTACTTAGCTTTCTGTGCCTTATTTCCATTTTTTAAAAAATGAGGATAATAATAGTACTTGCTCTATAGTAGGTTATAGTAAGGATTAAATATGTGATATGTAAAATATTCAGCACACTCAATAAATGTTAGTTCCTCTTATTGTGGAAAGAGTACTGGATGGAAGAGAATGGATCCATGCTTTGTTATATATATATATATATATATGAACTCAAGGCCATGAACTCAAGATGTGGCCTCAGTTTCTTATGAGTATAATGTTGGGAGGGGATGGTGATTATAAAATCACAGACTATTAGAGCTGTATGGGACCTTTGGGATTGTTGATGTCATCCTACAGTGAGAGAAGAACAGGCAGCATAGGAAGGTAAAACCATGTCCTTCAGGAAACTCTTGAACTAGGAGCATTGAACTATGTGGTGCTACGAGGCCCTTTCCATTAGAAAACTCCAGTGATTCTAAGTATTCTATAAAGTGACTGACAATTCTTCTATGACAAGCCTTCTTTGAGTACTCTCTGGGGTCTTTGTCAGACTTTCTCTTAGTGCTTGAGTCATTGCATTTCTTTTCTCATCTACTCTGAGTTCACAGGTTTCTCAGAAGCAGAACAGAGAATAATATGTCAAATAAAAAGTTTATTTTCTTTCCTGTTGCTCCACATCTGTGTATGCAATGATTCATCCCATTGAGAGATAT